GCGGCGCGACGTTGCGTGCCAGAGATTAAAAAAGGGTCCTGATCAATTGCACAGGGAATGATGCACTTCAGCGGCGGGTCCCCAGCTAGCCGTCGTAGCACACGGGGGAAGGCACTGCTAAAACACGGTGCGGCCTGCACCGCTGGAAAGGCTGCCTTTCCAACATTGTCGCTATCCTTCAGGCCAAATGCATTCTTCACAGCGCTCAGCGTCAACATGCGCTGCACCTGCACGACAGTTGGGTACATGTCCCCCATGTACATCGTGTTGCGGAATATAAATGTCTTGCGTGGATCGAAGCCAAAGGCAATGATGTCTTTTATGTTCTCCACCACCAACCCGCTCGCCCTCTCCCCGCTGACGGGAATGTCGCGGAAGAAGTGCTTCTCATCATCGGTTATCTGGATCACCAACGGAAGACCGAGCGCATCCTGCAGGTACCGCGTCAATAAAAACGGCATGACATGGCCAATGTGCATCGACTGCGCGCTCGGTCCACGACCAGTGTACAAGTACGCGCGGTGTGTCCCCGTCGCAAAGGACGCACGCACGCAGTCAAGGGCGGCTCCAAAATCCCTGTGGGAGAAGACGATGCCGCGGCGGAAAAAATGTTGCAATGCCATTCGTCCCGCCTCCTCTTGTGCGGTGCTCCCCCCGTCCGTTGCATGTTTCCTCCAGCCGCTGCAGAAGGGGCTCATCAACGGGCTCCGACCTGAATCGTGCGAGGACGCGGTCATAGTCCACACCCCTCGGGCCCGTGGCGGCAACACCCCACGGCGTCACAACGTCCTCCTTGCGCTCTGTGCGGCTGGCATCATGCCCACGCGTCGTGGCACAACTTCGTCCCCCACAAACCAACGGCGCAGCAAAGCGTGAGACGCGACGCATCACAAAAGGATCCAAACGACTACTTCGCCCGTGCACCGCAGTGCCACACCGGAAAGAAAAAAACAGGCAGGAGAAGAGAGGCAGGACTTCGAGACAGCACACATCCCCTGATGCATCACGAAAAAAAAAAATGCACGCAGCGGGCTCCAACACCCAAGCGCGTAGTCCCTCCACACATTATCCAGAACATACAAGACAGTCAAGCCAACACTGGCAGAAAAGAAAGACAATAGAAAGGCGCCAATGAAAACAAAAATGAACGACACTGTTGGTGCGCCATACAATGACTGGCCGTGGCGCGCAGCAGCCGTGGCCCCGCGCCATCTCCCCGTCGGCCAGCACCGCACACCCGCCACTTCCACGCAGCGATATACACGCAGCAGCTGCTGGTGGTGGCGGATCACGGAGTGGCAAAAGAAACGAGAAAGAATTACAAAACAAACACTGTGAAGTTGGTGTAAACTAGAAAAGATAAAATAAAATTATGGACAAAACCCCACACAATCGCTGGAAATTACAAGACAATCAAATAAACACTGGCAGAAAAGAATTAATAGACAAGAGCCAATGAAAACAAAAATGAACGACACTGTTGGTGCGCCATACAATGACTGGCCGTGGCGCGCAGCAGCCGTGGCCCCGCGCCATCTCCCCCCGTCGGCCAGCACCGCACACTCGCCACTTCCACGCAGCGATATACACGCAGCAGCTGCAGTGGTGGCGGGCCAAAAGGAAAAAGGAGTAAAATAAAAAGAAGTAAGAATAATCTTCCGGGCAGCTGGCCGGATCCTGAAGTTATATCTATGGAACCAAACAAGTTAGGGAAAAAAGGTTCGTTAGTTAATTGCTTCAATGTTTTCTTTTCATTCAATATATAAAATTCTGTGGACCATTAGCATGGTCCTTTGTCCTCAGTTAGGATTTACGTATTATTACTTACGAAGTGGCAGACTTTGGGGTCCTCCAACCACAAGACCCCGCCGCGTGGTGGGAATCAAGGGGGTGGGTGGGATGGCAAAATAAAGCAAATATTATCCGGCCTCTATCGGCTCCCTGCCCCTTAAAGTCGCGTTCTTCCCAAAAGATTCATACGGTAGAGAGTATCATAAAGAATGCATTCATTTATCAGGATATATGCATACATTAATTAAGTTAGCCAGCTCTCCCGCGATCATTCTTTTCACAAGCTCCTAAAAAACAAAACACTATGCAGTTGGTGTAAACTAGAAAAGATAAAATAAAATTATGGACAAAACCCCACACAATCGCTGGAAATTACAAGAAAATCAAATGAACACTGGCAGAAAAGAATTAATAGACAAGAGCCAATGAAAACAAAAATGAACGACACTGTTGGTGCGCCATACAATGACTGGCCGTGGCGCGCAGCAGCCGTGGCCCCGCGCCATCTCCCCCCGTCGGCCAGCACCGCACACTCGCCACTTCCACGCAGCGATATACACGCAGCAGCCGCTGTGGTGGCGGATCACGGAGTGGCAAAAGAAACGAGAAAGAATTACAAAACAAACACTGTGAAGTTGGTGTAAACTAGAAAAGATAAAATAAAATTATGGACAAAACCCCACACATACTTTCAGAAAAATACATGAAAACAAATGAACACTGGCAGAAAAGAATTAATAGACAAGAGCCAATGAAAACAAAAATGAACGACACTGTTGGTGCGCCATACAATGACTGGCCGTGGCGCGCAGCAGCCGTGGCCCCGCGCCATCTCCCCCCGTCGGCCAGCACCGCACACTCGCCACTTCCACGCAGCGATATACACGCAGCAGCCGCTGTGGTGGCGGATCACGGAGTGGCAAAAGAAACGAGAAAGAATTACAAAACAAACACTGTGAAGTTGGTGTAAACTAGAAAAGATAAAATAAAATTATGGACAAAACCCCACACATACTTTCAGAAAAATACATGAAAACAAATGAACACTGGCAGAAAAGAATTAATGGACAAGAACCAATGAAAACAAAAATGAACGACACTGTTGGTGCACCATACAATGACTGGCCGTGGCGCGCAGCAGCCGTGGCCCCGCGCCATCTCCCCCCGTCGGCCAGCACCGCACACAACCTTCACGTGGCGCATGTCACGGGATAGCGTGATTCACGCTCCCACGTGTAGTTGATGCACGGTCCACGAAGCTTAATGCGTTGGAGTGGGTGTCGACTGCCAGTGGCTGCGGCTGACGGTCAATGGTATCTGGGTTGCCTTCGTTGCTACCAATGATGCGCTCCCACTGCGGCGGTGCGGGTGGTCGGTACGACGACGCGCCGGCGCTGCCTGAAGCGTACGACGATGATGTCCTGTCGTGGTGCTTCCGCAACTCTTCGTCGCTCTCCTCGTCATCGTGCAGCAGCGCATCCAGCCCTCCACGCTGCGGCTCGCGCAGCTCCTGCCAGTGGCGGTCCTCCACGTACCACACAACCGCACAGTACACAGTGGCCGCAAGCAGCACAGTGGTCAGCAGCATCAGAAGTGCCGCGTACGCCCTCGCTCCGCCGTCGCTCGGCGCAAGATGGTTGGCCGCGCTGGTCAGGCACAGCGCCGCAAGGAGCACAAAGCTCGCCGTGCGCATCACCGTCAGGAAGGCCGAGCGCATCATGTTCGTGAAGGCAACCACGCCCGCACCCGCAAGCAGCACAGCCGCCATGCAGAAGTACAGGACGTGGCAGACTCCCACTGGCGGGTGCACAGCAGCAATCAGGCCCACCACACACAGCACCGACAGCTGGAACACGCACCAGTACACGTGGCTGCCCCTCATGTTCGTCAGCATGCCGCCGTACATCCGCTGCTGCGCCGCGGGGTGCCAATACCCGACGGGGTACAGCAGGCGCTCGTGCAGCGGCTTCCTCGAAAACTGCCAGTACTTCGCAAAGCTCGCGCCCGTGTGGCGGGCAATCAAGTAGCACACGCCAGCAGGGAACGCCACACCGTACAGCACGCCAACGACACCAATCACGTAGTGCTGCGCGCGGGCACCGGGCATCGCCACTGCAAACACGGAGCCGAAGAAAATGCCGAGGTGCATCGCGTGCGCCACTACGTACGTCAGGCTCGGGAAGCGCATCGCCGCCCACGCAGTCGCTGCGTCCACGCCGCGCCACCGCTGGAAGGCCGCCGTCACACCGTAGTGCACGCAGCCGAACACCGCGGCGAGCAGCGCATTGCCCACCACCATCCACAGCGGGTCAAGGGCAGCGAACACCGACAGGAAGTACGGCAGCGCAACGGTGCTCGCACGCTCCTGCGCAGAGGCGCATGACATCCTCGCAAACACGCCGAGCGCCTGCATCTCCAGGATGGAGCCCAGCCCGCCGGTCACCACCACGGCAACAGCCGCCGCACCCGCAACAACGCCGGTGATCGCCGAGAGGGCGCTGGCAACAGCAGGCGGCGTGTTGGACGCGATGGTGAAAGACCCAAGCAGCACACCCTTGCAGCCGCCAAACACCGCCACAGCGTCGCAGCGAATGACTATCGTCTCGTCGGCACCAATGAAGTAACCGCGGTGCACGGGCACAGCCAGCTCCAGGACGGTGGACGGATTCGTCGCGTTGCGCACCCACGTCGCGTTGCTCAGCATCGCTCCCCACGGACCACCAAAGCCGCGCGGCTGCGCCGTCGCCACCGGCACGAAGCTCAGGTGCGTGCCGAGCTGCGGGTCGCTTGCCCAGCGGAACGGCGGCGGCAGCGCCACCATCAGCCGCGTCGGGACGGCGCTCCCACCGCCGCGAATGTCGTTCTGCGTCAGGCTCCCACCAGCCGCCGTCGTCGTCACGGTGAGTGTCGGGCACGCCACGTCGCTCCACCACGGCGTGCTGCTCACCGACAGGCTCATGCTCAGTGAATCCGATGCCGTCACTGTCGCGGTCGGCGGCTCCGTCGCCGTAACCGACGCTGCCGGGGTCGGCGTGGGCAGCAGCGTCACCGTTTCCGTCACCTGCAGCGTCTCCGTCGGTCCGTAGTTCGTCGGACTGTAGCGCGTCGCACTCAGGCTCGTTGTTGGCGGTGTTGGCGTCCACGTTGGCGTCAGGCTGCGCGTCGCCGTCAGCGTCGCCGTGTGGCTCAGCAGCGGTTTCTCGGGCGTGCGGTTGCACCCGTCCACGTGCGGCAGGTACACCGGCAGGCAGTCGTGCCCGTACCCGCCCTCAGCACAGCGGCAGCCGCACGACCCCGACATCGCCCTCGTCGCAGCAGCAAAGCAGCTCACGTCGGCGTCGCACACGCTGCACGCCACGGGGCGGAATTTCCCAATGATGCCGGCGGACCTGTA